AAAATATTAATCAGAGATAAATCCTTCCAATGCATTGTCTCACAATTACCATAATTTTCAGAATAAATTCTAAAGGAAAATTCTCTCCATGTATATGTATATAATAAAATAATATAATTGTATAATTAAATTGCGGTAATTTTTTTTCCTAATAAACTCAAGTCTAACGTCTCGAGATAAACACGAGACGAATCTCCTTTTTTTTTTCTCGCGTCTCGTCTAAAATAAATGTTGCGCTTGCTCGCAAGACGAGTAAGCGTAACTAAAATCTCGCTTTTTTGCGCGAGACTTTGTACGGCACAATGCGACTGTAAAACGCGCAACGGTAAAAGAATCTCCGAAACGGCCCTGAACTCGATACACGAACGAACAATTTCGTTTTGTCATTATAAAAGCCATTACCGGCGCGTTAAAGTTGTTGCGTTAAAGCGTTGCGCAAATAGCGCGCGCCGATAAATTATGCCATCAGGAACGTAGGAATTTTCGAGCTTTCCCGCGTGTCGCGCATTTTGCAAAAACCTGTTGCGCGCATGTTACCCTGTTACGCGTGTAACAATGTACCAACAATTGTAACTCCCCCACGGTCCGTCCTTCGTGCGTGTGCGTGCCAACCTGAAAATAGCGTTAAACAATCGCGCGAGATCGCGCATGTAACGTGGATGCAAAAAGGAGGGAGATCAACCCTTTTTCCTGCCACGTTTCAACCATTTTATACTTGTTGTAAATATTGCGTTTGTTCATTTTGCCAGGGCGCTAGACGACTCACTTGCGATATTATTGCACGAATAAAATAATGTCAATAATTTACAACATTGTGCACATATATGTATATAGAGTATTGTAGTCTGAAAGTAAACTGTGTAATCTCTCGGATGTGCTTTGTCATTAGAGGATTAAAATTAAATTGCATTAAATGACATTGCAAATCGAATCACTGCACTTATCTCGCATGTATCAATATACAAAGTATGTTTGACTAACAGATAGACTTGAGCAATATCGGTTCACTGAGGCTTTGCGAAATGTACATGTCTTTTGTCCAACTGACCGTCGATATAAGAAACAAACAAGTAAAAAGTAAGAGCGAAGAAAATGCTAAAAATAAATTATGTAAGAATAATACATAAATTAATAAAATTTAAAATTTCATAAAATACAATGTATAAAAAAATATATATATGCATATAAAGCGGTAATTGAAAGAATAAAATATAAAATAATGAGGAAAAAGGGATTTTCGAAGATTAATACACAGCGATGTAGGCATAAATAGAAATAAAAAATTACATAAGAAAATTGAAATAAACTGCGGCGGATATCGGGAGCCCTATCTGTATCGTTCTTTCTTTCAGCTACGTGCTTCCCTGATGATTCCTCTTCAGGGCTGATACCTACGCACGCCCACGCATCTCGAAACGAGGATACGCCGCGCCGGACAGGTAATTCCTCTCGCGGCTCCCTCGCTTGCTTTTCCACCCTCTTGCAACAACAAATCGCGTGCGCAGAGTCCTCGCCCACGCTTGCATGTTCGGTTATATACCTTGTTTATGAAAGCGAGGCATGCTCCTCGTTTTTCCTAACGCAACATGTGCACAAACGAGAGACACGGTCCTCGTGGAAAATAGAATTCTGATCGGAATTCGCGCGGTATCCGATTTCTTTAATGTATAATTATTTTATCAAATTAATTTTTGAGTGTAGAAGGAAAAAAGAGACGTTCTTGATATACGTCTATAGATATTCGCATCATACACAGAGAGAGAAATTTTTCTTTATAATTTGATTGAAAATTATGGTAATCGTGGAACAATATGGTATATGAAAAAATTTATAAGAGTTTCTCTGATTAATATTTATCACAAATAAAATATTAATATTGCGATTAATAGTTCGATTAATTTTAACTATGTACATATTAATATTTTTCATCGTGGTAAGGTAAATATTAATCAGAGAAACTCTTAATAAATTCTGTGGGGGAGTGCTAATCTATTTTGCAAGTAAACTTATTAAGGGGATGATAATCGAATTTTCAATCGAATTTTTTTAACTATTTTTATTAAATTTATTTTTGTGCGCGTAGAAGGAAAAATTGAAGATGCTACTGCTGAATATCTTAAAAGTCTCAAGAGATGTTCCTGAAATATCGTCTAGATATTCACAAATCATCACAGAGAGAGAGAGAGAAGTTTCTTTTATAATTTAATTGAAAATTATGACAATTGTGGGACAATATAGTATTGGAAGAATTTTATAAGAGTTTCTCTGATTAATATTTTTTGTTGTGGTAAATATATTAATCAGAGGAACTCTTATAAAATTCTGTATGAGAGAACTAATCTATTGCGCGAGCGAACTTATTAAGGGATGAGAATTCGAACTTTCAATCAAATTTTATTGTTGTAATTATTTAATTAATTTTTTTTGCGCGTAAAAGAAAAAAATGAAATAATGCTGCTGATGTTAAAAGTCTTGAATGTTCCCTCGATATATCGCCTAGATATTACGAGACGCGAAAGAAAATTGGAGCGATCGAAGAATCGCTCGAGGAGCCTCACACCATAAACTGAAACTGAGATTGAGAATCGTGACTGGTTAATATGAGCTATCGCGATGTTTCGGAAATTTTCAACGAGCTTTGTATCCGGTTTACGATGTATTTAGCGGCCATCGATGGCGACGGAATTTTCAAGTGTTTTTAATCAAATTAATTTTAATTTTCACAAAATTCCTTCTTATTGTATTAAAAATGCGCTCATTATTTACATATATAAAAGCATTTGTAAAAATTAATTTCATTTAAAATCAATTTTATAAACATAAAAAAAAATATTATACACATATATAAAATTCATGAATTTTCACAAATTCCTCCTTATTACATAACGTGCGATTATGATGTCTTTATAAGATGTGTAATAACGATGAGGATTTTATTATTTCCGCAGAGGACTCTTGAATTTACTCGAAGGAATATACTATCCAGGAATTTACGCGGGCAGAGTATGTGAGGGAGAATAAGTTATTCTCGCGCGCGATACAGAGCGGCGAAGTCCTATTTATCGGGAGTTCTCTCTCCTCCTTTCTGGAAGAAGATGAGGGCATGTTCTGGTACCCCGGGAACTCGTGACTCGTTAATCGGTACCATCGGCTATTTTATCCGGTTATTAACCGGCCCGGTGAAATGAACGCGGGAATACTATAAATACTTGGGGGATTATCCGCGAAGAGAGAAGAGTCGTACACTCGGTGGAGCCGGGAATGAAAGATTAAAGTCGCGCATCCCCAATCTCGAGATAAGATAGGACTTGGCAATTTAGTTGCTGCTTTATCATCCCAATAGGTGTTGCGAATTTTTCTCAGAAAAAGAGAGAGAAAGAGGATTAGTTCTAGACGAGAATATATATATATTCGCGCTCGACACAAATAACGGGAAGATAATAAACAGCGTTGTGCGCTTAGCTTTTAAAATTAGCTGGGTAAAGATGAGATACAAATATGTAAATTCATGTTAGATCAGATGAAAGATAAAATTATATGGATCACATCTAGATCATTTTCTAGATCATTTTTAAGACTGCTTCTATAAACATACACGGAGAGAATTTCTCTTCGAATTTACCTTGAAAATCATAATCATGGACAAAATGATATTGGAAGAATTTTATAAGAGTTTCTCTTCTTCCGGTTAAACTATTTTCACAATAAAAAATATTAATATGTACATAATAAATTTATCGCGTATATTTTATATCTTATTATGGTAGATGTTACTATTTTTTATTGTGGTAAATATTAATCAGAAAAACTCTGAAAAATTCTTCAATACCATATTATCCATGATTACCATGATTTTTCAGGGTAAATTCGGAGAGAAATCTCTCTGTGATTATAAAAAAATGTAAATTATAAAAAAAGATATAAAAATATAATGCATTCATATTTTTCTATTGCTTTAGTTCTACTATTTAAGTATTTTTAAATGTGCTATTAACCACAATTATCTGTGTTCGCGAACGCGCTGCGTGAGAGGAATCGAACGACACCAAAAAAAGGATGAGTCACTTTTAGTATAAAAGAAACTTTTAATATACGAATCTTTACGGAAATATAATGTACAATACTTAACAATTAAACGCACAAAAAATTAACACAAAATCTAATCAGTTTCAGCGGACAATTCGAAATCAAAAGAAAAGGCGGTGGTCGTCGATTTAATGTTCTGCGGTTTTTCTAAGCGGTTTACTCTTATGCGTACACGGCGGAAAGCGATAAGACCGCAAACCGGGTGTGGCTCCTCTTTTATCATTTTCGGAGAGGAGCCCACCCTCGCGTGAAGCGCCAATAATTTTGCGTGATTTTAAAGTGGCGCATGCTCAATAGCATATAATTATTCGGCGGAACGGTTGCAACACCGTTACTTGTTTGTGTATTTGAGCGTTTTTTTATATGACAGCTGTCAATTTACGACTCTTTTTTATTCCATTACAAACAAATGTGACTTTATTATTGCCGATCGAAGATTCTAGAATTTAACAATAACTATTTTCGAGATCGAACCTTGTCTCGACTGAAAACGTATAATATATGAAAATCCTAATTACATTTTACTGCCGAAATAATTTAACTGGCGATAAGAATTATTTTGCATCTCAAACATCCCGCCCGCCTTGTCGCAACGTGACAAATGGTTGATGATGATTTCGGCGCGGATCACATTCCGATGGTGATTGATGGTGGGGCGGGCTCGCGTCGGCGCGGCGAAATTCACGTGATGATCGCGTGTTGCGAATCGATCAGCTGAGTCGACGAAAACACGTGGTGATCGCGTGATGTGAATCGATCAGCTGGAACGGCGAAAACATGTGGCAGATGTGAACGGCGAGTGTGAGATGCAGTGAGCGGTGAAAATGAGACAGTTTTAGTGCGGTGGTGAGCGAAACAAGTGATGTGTGACAATTGATATGGTGCATGATGTGATGATTGTGTAGTGAGTGATGCTATGTGTCAATGTGCGGTGTAGGCGCGTCGTTCACGCCCGGAAGAAACACGAGCTTGACGAGTGGGCGCACGAGCTCGGACGTGGCCGTTCGGATGGTCACGACGCGTGTAATTCCGTCGTCTCCGGGGTGCAAACGCAATATGCGAGCGAGAGGCCATCGGCTCGGAGGGGTGATCTCGGAGCGCACGAGACAGAGATCGCCGACGTGGGGTGCAGGTGCATCCTTGAGCCACTTGGTGCGTGGGGCGAGTCCGTGCACGTATTCGGATGACCATCGCTGCCAGAAGTGATCCCTCATCCGCTGCAGATGACGCCAACGTGACAAGGTGGACACCGTCTGCTCTGTCAATGACGGTTCCGGCAAGGCGAGGAGCGGTGCCCCAACGAGGAAGTGACCGGGGGTCAGCGCCGAGACGTCCTCTGGATCATCTGAGAGTGCCTGTAACGGACGTGAATTCAGACAAGCTTCGATCTGGGCGAGGAGTGTGCTCAACTCCTCGAACGTGAGGGTGGTCTCGCCGATCACCCGACGGAGGTGAAACTTGGTCGACTTTACGGCGGCCTCCCACAAACCACCAAAGTGCGGGGCCGCTGGCGGGTTGAAGTGCCAGCGGATTCCTTGAGTGGTGGCGGCAAGGATGACACTTTGACCTTCGGCTGTCGCTGCGTTAAAGAGACCTCGCAGCGTCCGATCTGCCCCGATGAAAGTCGTGCCGCAGTCGCTGTAAATCTCAGCGCACAAACCCCGGCGGGAGATGAAGCGGCGCAGCGCGGCGATGAAGGCCTCCGAGGTGTAGTCCGAGACAACTTCTAAGTGAATGGCCTTCGACCAGAAGCAGACGAAGACGGCGATGTATCCCTTGTGCGCACGGTGTCCACGCCCCTTGCTGGTCCGGAGGAGGATTGGTCCCGCGTAGTCCAAACCGGTGCTGAGGAACGGTCGAGTTGGCGTTACTCGGTCCCGAGGAAGGTTACCCATCGGAGGCTGTGGTGTTGCGGCGCGCCATCGAGTGCAGGTCACGCATCGGTGTAGCTGCTGTTTGACGGTGGTCCTTCCTCGGGGCACCCAGAAACGCAGGCGGAGCAAGCCGAGAGTCAGTTGCACACCTCCGTGCAGTGTCCGTCGGTGGCAGGAATCAATCACCAGCCGAGTCAACCATGATGCCGCCGGGATGATCATTGGATGTCTTTCGTCGAGTGGTAGCTGAGCATGCTTGAGACGTCCTCCGACGCGCAGCACGCCTTGATCATCGAGGACCGGACTCAACCTCGCTAGGTGGCTTCGCGGTGGACTAGTGCGTCCAGCAGAGGCCGCAGCTACGTCCGTAGGAAAGTGGAGCGCCTGCACCACTCGCAGCCATCGAAATAAGGCGACGTCCAGCTCGTCCGGATGCAAAGTGCGGCCAAGTATGACGTCGCGTCTCGCCGGATTGAGCCATCGCCGACACCATGCAGTAACTCGCAGCAGCCTTTGTAGCTTCGGGAACCGGAGGAGGAGGTCAGGTTCGGCCGTGATCGGTGCCTTGACCACCAAACTGGTGGCTCGCTGCTCCGGGAGGTCATCCTCTGCGGCTTCGATGACGGAACAAGGCCATGCAGTCTCGTCTCCTGACAGCCAGGTAGGTCCTGTCCACCACAGTTTATGCTTAATGAGTTCGTCAGGAGTAACACCGCGTGATGCACAATCTGCAGGATTCTCTCGTCCAGCGATGTGTCTCCATTGAGCGTCTGGCAGCAGGGTCTGGATCTGAGACACTCGATTGGCGACAAAGGTTTTCCAGCGGGTGCTGTGTCCTTGAATCCAGTGGAGCGTGACCTTTGAATCTGACCACAGATGCACTGGCGTCGTTGTCAAACCGAGAGTAGAGCGCACGTGGAGCATGAGCGTGGTAAGTAGAGCTGCTGCACAGAGTTCCAAGCGAGGTAACGACACCTGCTTGACAGGTGCGACCTTGGATTTTGCCATCAACAGGTTGATTGATGTTTTCTCTGTTGCAGCGTTGCGGATGTACACCACGGCGGCGTACCCTCGCTCTGATGCGTCGGCAAACCCATGGAGCTGCAGTTGTGAATGGTCGGTCCCAGTGTTGAGCCAGCGAGTTATGCGGATGTCATCTAGAAGAGGAAGCTGATTCAACACTGCCTCCAGCGGTGTGCGTCCTGATCAGGCAGCGGGGAGTCCCAGTCCAGCCGTTGAAGCCACGTCGTCTGAATCAGAATTTTGGCTCTGATGACGACAGGTGCGAGCCACCCCATCGGGTCAAAGAGTCGAGCCGTCTCGGCCAAAACTCGTCGCTTCGTGAAGTCGGTGATTGCACGCGGACGTATGGTGAAGGAGAACCAGTCACCTTGCGGATGCCATCGGAGGCCCAAGGTAGCGTGACTCTCTCCCTCCCATGAGTGCGGTTTGCGTTGATGCCGATGTTCCGGTGGAACTCCGGTGAGCACCTGCTGATCGTTGGCAGCCCACTTCCTCAAAGGAAATCCGCCCGCCATGCAAAGACTCCGTAGTTCCTGCTGAAGGTCGATAGCGTCCTCCAAGCTATCAGCGCCGGTGACCACGTCGTCGACGTAGCAGTCGTGTCGCAGTGCCTTGACTCCGCGTGGATATCGTGCCTCTTCGTCTGCTGCGAGTTGATGAAGAGTCCTGATGGCGAGAAAGGGTGCACACGCTAGCCCGTAGGTCACGGTCCTCAGCTCGTACTCGTGGACGTCATCAGAGCTGGTGTGGCGCCACAAGATGGTTTGCAGGCGACGATCCTCCGGATGTACAAGAATTTGTCGGTACATCTTCTCGATATCCGTGACGAGAACGTACCGATGCCAACGCCAACGAAGTAGGACATCAGCGAGTGTTGGCAAGAGATTGGCTCCAGTGAGGAGGTGTGCGTTCAGCGACTCTCCGGACCGTGTGCGCTGGGAGCCGTTGAACACAACCCTGAGCTTCGTGGTCGTGCTTGACTCCTTGAGGACCCCGTGATGCGGTAAGTAGCACCTAGGGCTGCAGGTTGTTGAAGTTGTGCTGACCTCCATATGTTGCAGGTTCTCGTATTCCTCCATGAAATCTCGATAGAGGTCACCGAAGCGAGGATCTCGTGCTCCCTTCCGCTCCATGGCTTCCAGGAGGCGCTCTGCGGGTCGACGAGTCTCGCTGAGCGATGTCGGCGGCGGTGAAGTACATGGCAGCCTCACCATGTACCTGCCACTGGACGTGCGAGTGACCGTGCGCACGTAGAAGTCTTCGCACCTGGCTTCGTCGGCGGTGAGCGGTGTCCCAGCTACTGGCTCGCGTTCCTGCTCCCAGAAGCGTCGAACCATGTTAGCGAGGTCGTGGTCTGTGGTGCACTGGAACGTGCGGCGATGGCCTTCGGGTGCTGCGGCGTCGTAGCCTCCGGACAAGATCCATCCTAAGCTCGTCTGCTGGGCGATCGGCATCCGTGATCCGCCCTTGCGAAGGCCTTCCTCGAGGATCAGCGAGTAGACTTCTGCTCCCAGAAGTAACTCCGCAGGATCGTCATCCAGGAAGCGCGGGTCGGCCAATCGAAGTCCGTGGATGTGAGGCCAGCTACGATCTTCACGTTGAGCGGTGCCTTGTTGCAATGAGATGCGCGGCAGCACAAAGGCCACCACGCGAAGCTCGGCATTGGTCACGTCAGATGTGATGTCTATCGTGACCTTGCCACGCGCTGATCCAGAGCGAGTCCCTCCGATGCCGAAGATGGACAGATCCGTTGAAGCTCGAGGCAGCCGAAGACGCTGAGCCAGAGCCTCAGAGATGATGGACACCTCGGAGCACTGATCTATCAAGACTCTAACCTCGTGTGGTGATCCGTATCGATCAGCGACCTTGACGCGAGCGGTTGCGAGAAGGACGGCCTTGTGCGTCTTAGCTTGCCGTGCAGTGACCAGTGTGGTGGCAAGTGAAGTGGCCTCAGCGGATGGTGTTGATGTGGATGCCCCGTGCAGCATGGTGTGGTGTCGTGCGTTGCAGGTGAGGCAATTCTTTTTTGACTGACACCGTGCTAAGAAATGATTGCCTAAGCAGTTGAAGCACAGTCGGTTGGTCTCCACGAACGTTTTCCGCTCAACCGCAGTCTTGGCCTTGAAGCTTTTGCACGTCATCAAGGTATGGTTTTCACGGCACAGTGCACAGTGAGGTGAATCCGCGCCTTGGTGCTTCGTGACGTGCGCTTTGGCGAATCGTGATGTTTCTCCAGGTCCCTTTGTGACACTCCTCGGTCGTGCGGCGTTGAGCGTCAATACTCGTCGACTAATAAAGTCGAGAAGTGCCTCGTTCTGTGGTGGTTCGGTGGAGTCTGAAGTGGTTGACTCCCATTCGAGACGAGTGCGTGCGTCGAACAGTTCGACGACCAGGTGGTTGAACAGGTCCATCCCATGCGAGTTGATAGGACGTCCGATGCTCTCCTGTGCGTTGACTGCGGCGGTGACAGCGTTGTGGATGCGGCTCAGCTCCTCGGCGGTATCTCCCTTCATCTTTGGCACGGCGGTAAACGTGGCAAAGTTGGAGCGGATTAATTCTCTTTTGTTATTGTAGTGCTTGTCCAAGATTGCCCAAGCGCGATCGTAATTGTCACTCGTGACAGGTAGTGACTTTATCAACTTTTCAGCCGGACCTGTCAGACACGAGCGGAGGTGGTGGAGCCGCTCAATGTTCGAGATCGAATTGCTGCTCACAATGGACAGAAAAAGATCGCGAAAGGATGGCCAATCGGCGTAGGCGCCAGAGAACGGCGGCAACTTGATGCGCGGCAGCGAAGACTTCGATGCGACGTCGACGGATGGAGATACGTTCGGCTTCCGGAAATGTTCGGTATAACTATCTAAAGTACTGCGTTGTGCAACGTACAGATTTTCCGTATCTCCATGCAACTCCGACTTGTAGTATTCGCTCTCGCAAAATTTTTCTTTCAGAGCTGCGCGAATGAGATCATGCTGTGTCCTCGAATTTCGTCCACAGCTGATCTAAGATTCTGGTGCGTGGATACGGCACTGGCGGTGATGTTGGTCGTGCCCAGCTTCTTCAGGTATTCCACGGAGCGCGAAATACGGACCTGGATCTCACGTTGGCAATCGATCAACGTGTTCACATCCATGGTGAACTACGAGCACTCACGAACTACACGACGACACGTTCACAAACTTGCGGGTGCCGGCGAGAAGATCCGGCTCGAAGGACCAGAAATATGTTCGCGAACGCGCTGCGTGAGAGGAATCGAACGACACCAAAAAAAGGATGAGTCACTTTTAGTATAAAAGAAACTTTTAATATACGAATCTTTACGGAAAATAATGTACAATACTTAACAATTAAACGCACAAAAAAATTAACACAAAATCTAATCAGTTTCAGCGGACAATTCGAAATCACAAGAAAAGGCGGTGGTCGTCGATTTAATGTTCTGCGGTTTTTCTAAGCGGTTTACTCTTATGCGTACACGGCGGAAAGCGATAAGACCGCAAACCGGGTGTGAGCTCCTCTTTTATCATTTTCGGAGAGGAGCCCACCCTCGCGTGAAGCGCCAATAATTTTGCGTGATTTTAAAGTGGCGCATGCTCAATAGCATATAATTATTCGGCGGAACGGTTGCGACACCGTTACTTGTTTGTGTATTTGAGCGTTTTTTATATGACAGCTGTCAATTTACGACTCTTTTTTATTCCATTACAAACAAATGTGACTTTATTATTGCCGATCGAAGATTCTAGAATTTAACAATAACTATTTTCGAGATCGAACCTTGTCTCGACTGAAAACGTATAATATATGAAAATCCTAATTACATTTTACTGCCGAAATAATTTAACTGGCGATAAGAATTATTTTGCATCTCAAACAATCTGAAAATTAGATAATTGAATAAAGATGTATTTTTTTCACATCTAAAATGCAGTATAGATGATACCTACATATTTTCATTATCTATATAAAGATAAGATGACGCAAAGTTTCATCTATATAATTTTCTTTAGATAACAGCAAACACTGTTAATCAAGTAGTTTAAAGCTCTAGTAACGTATTCCGCGAGCTACAAAGGAAATGGCAAATTAACGAAGAAATTATATGACGACCAACACGCGATAGAACTCGTTTTTCTCGCCAACTTGAGCCCCACGGAAGTGAAAGACGACGCATATGTTTGCGCATATGTCTGGTAGTTACAATATCTCGATATTTGCATAACACGTCCTCATTACGAAAAAGCCCTGTAAGTGGAAGGACTTAATGCTCGGACGTGGGATATCGTGTCGTGGGATATTTCTTCGAAAAACGCGAAGAACGACGGAAACGCGACATCATCATTATCCTGTTCTCCGCGAGCTTAAGGGCTCCCATTATGAGAAGCTACGTGAAAGGGTACAAACAGGCGGCCCTGTCGCCTGTCAGAATACCGTCTAGCGTTATAGTGAAAAAGAAAGAAGAAGAAAAGAAGAGGAAGACAAGTCGTTATTCTTCGAGAAAAGTATGCGCGATAAATGAAGGGTTCGAGGCACGAGTAAGGCGAGTCCATAATTTATAAGCTTCGCTTTGAATACCAGTCGTATTCAAGTTAAACCCTGTCGACTTGTTACTCGCTTGCACTCTGAACTCTTTAAATAGAGTGTAGCTTTTGTCAAATATAATCACTTTTTTTTTGTCTCTCTCGAGAAAAACGCCTCATCTCCTCTCTGTTGTATGTATATTTCATCTCGCGGTGTTGTACAAATCTGCACAGAGAGAATTTTCTCTTCGAATTTACCCTGAAAATCATGGTAATCGTGGGACAATGATATTGGAAGAATTTTATACCACATAAAAATATTACTATGCACATAGTAAAATTAATCGAACATATTCTATATCTTATGGTAGATATAAATTTTTTTATTGTGATAAGTATTAATCTCTTAGAAAATTCTTCCAATATGACTCCATGATTTTCCGGTAAATTCTAAGAGAAAATTCTTTCTGTGTGTGTGCAAATACTTGTATAATAATTAAATATTAAATATTTAAGAGTCTTCTTTCGAGATATTCGCCCTCTGCGAATATATATGACTCAAGCTATTATTTGCCCCTCAATTTGATCCGTTCTATTCATTTTCACGGTACGTTCCCACGAGAATGAAACGCTCGCTTTTTGCGCACGCGCGAGCATTTCTTTAATAAAAGTGGATTAAACGAATGCGCCTTTTAGCGGTCGCGCCAATTAAGCTTCGAGCCGCTTTTAATTGTTCCTAACGAGGCTAAACGCGTACGTATATCTACTACATGCCTGCGCTTCACGTCACATCGCATAACAATGACTAACGGGTTGCCGCGAGCGTGTCTCCCTATTCCATTTCCTATCGGGTGACCAAGTCGATGACACGATAGTCGATCCAGTTCATCATACAGAGAAAGAATTTTCTCTTCAAACTTTCTCTTAGAATTTACTCTCAAAATCATGGTAATCGTGGGACAATATGGAAGAATTTTTTCGATTAATATTTAGCACGATAAAAATATTAATATCTAATAAAATATATGTTCGATTAATTTACTATGTACATATTAATATTTTTGAGTGTGGTAAACGAACGGAAAGTACATCAAAGGGCTAATTTATATATAGAAAATTATATTCAAATTATATGACACATATACGCAGAGAGAATTTTCTCTTAGAATTTACCCTCAAAATCGTGGTAATTGTGGGACAATATTGGAAGAATTTTATGAGTTTTTTCGATTAATATTTAGCATAATAAAAATATTAATATCTAATAAAAATATTGTTCGATTAATTTTAATATATTACATATTGATATTTTTGAGTATGGTAAACGAACGGAAAGTACATCAAAAGACTGATTTATATATAGAAAATTATATTCAAATTATATGACACATACGCAGAGAGAATTTTCTCTTAGAATTTACCCTCAAAATCATGGTAATCGTGGAAAATATTGGGAGATTTTATGAATTGTTTCGATTAATATTTAGCACGATAAAAATATTAATATCTAATAAAATATATGTTCGATTAATTTTACTATGTACATATTAATATTTTGAGTGCGGTAAACGAACGGAAAGTACATCAAAGGGCTAATTTATATATAGAAAATATATTCAAATTATATGACACATATACGCAGAGAGAATTTTCTCTTAGAATTTACCCTCAAATCATGGTAATTGTGGAACAATATTGGGAGAATTTTATATGAATCCCAATAAGATATAAAATATGTTCGATTAATTTTACTATGTGCGTAATATTTTTTATTGTGATAAATATTTGAATTACAGAAACTTATAAAATTCTTCCAATACCATATTGTCCCACAATTAGCATGATTTTCAGGGTAAAATTTAAGAGAAAAGTGCAATGTAACGCATTTACGGAGAGATATTTCATACGATTAAACAAAATTTGAACATTTACAAAATTATATACTTATATCTTTAATTGTATGTACGTCGTTCTTTCGGTAATTTCAGAAATATCCACCTGCGCTCGAATAAATGTTCTTTAAATAAATATGTATATTGCGTTACACAAATTATGCGTTCCGATTGATCCTTCGATAACCTTTGTAAATGGATGCCCTTGGCGCATCTGGATGAGCAAATTGGCCGGATGAAAATTGCAATGATCATCGAATCGTATGTATATATATAGAGAGAGAGAGAAACGTAAACGGAATTGCGTAACGAATCGTGCAAATTGCAGCGCGAATAAATGTCGGGGAATCAATTAGAAATGAGCACGACAAAAGAGAAAGAGATATAAAGAGATAAAGAGAGATGCGATCGACTTAACACGGTTCCATTAGTTACGCGACAGAGCAATTACAGGCTCGTTATATCGCGATAGCGCGGTTATCGACCCGTGATAGTTATTCCGTGGGTTTTAAATACCGCGCGACGACCTTATTTAATCGCCTTTACATCGGCGCCTCTTAATCCGCTGCTATTTTTAATTAAATGTTAAAGTCGCCCTTGGCGCACGGTTGAAAGACGCGCGTCTTGAACGCGGCCGCTGTCGTGGAGATCGCTTTATATACATAAATATAATATTTATCGAAGGAAGAATAAACAACCGATCACTTGTTATGACGTCAGTAAAGTTATTTATGAGTGCAATTGACATAATTAAGCTATTTTTTTATTGAAACAAGAACGGAGCATCCCGGACAGATGTTTCGACGATTGGAATTAATCGTCGAGCATTAACCATTAATCATTGGCTATTCGTATTCGTTCGACACGATTTTATCGATCCTGGAAAAACGACGAGTTAAATTAAAGAGCTCTCAGAAGCGTCTCGTGCACGTCTCGACTACCTGTCGTCGACCGGTTCCGATCGCAATTGACTCCTTGAACTTCGAGATTAGTCATGCTCCTGCCAGGAAATCGAGAAAAAAGAAGAACCTGCTTTTCTCACGAGAAGACAACGTTTTCACGTCCTTAAACATTTTCTCAAAAAAAATTCAACTGTCGCAT